ATAACACCCACTGCTCATCACAAGTGTCCTCCTTTAATCCCCATTACCTATTTAGCCCATTTTCCACCCACATTCCTCCATCAACCCTCAGTTTGTTCTTTATAGTTGAGTCTCTTATGGTTTGCCTCCCTCTTTTTTTCTTCCCTTCCCCATGTAATCTGTTTTGTTTCTTAAATTCCACATATGAGTGAAATCATATGGTATTTGTCTTTCTGACTTCTTTCGCTTAGCATAATACCCTCTAGTTCCATCCACGTCATTGCAAATGGCAAGATTTCATTCTTTTTGATGGCTGAGTAATACTCCAGTGGATATATATACCACATCTTCTTTATCCAGTCATCAGCTGATAGACATCTGGGCTCTTTCCATAATTTGGCTATTGTTGATAATGCTGCTATAAACATTGGGGCGCATGTGCCCCTTCGAATCACTATGTTTGTATCCTTTGGATAAATACCTAGTAGTGCAATTGCTGGGTTGTAGAGTAGCTCTATTTTTTTAACTTGTCACAGAACCTCCATGCTGTTTTCCAGAATGGCTGCACCAGCTTGCATTCCCACCAGCAGTGTAAGAGGGTTCCCCTTTCTCCGCATCCTTGCCAACATCTGTTGTTTCCTGAGTTAATTTTAGCCATTCTGATAGGTGTGAGGTGGTAACTCACTGTGGTTTTGATTTGTATTGTAAGTTCTTATTTTAACCAAGAAAAAAATGTGTAACAAATTTTTTAAATAATATATTGGTGATCTGCGCATTTTAGCTGGGGTAAGGAGGAAAGGATTCTCTGTCCCTGGGCCTCACCTATTTTCAGAGCTCTAGGAATAACTACATCTGTGGGAACAGACTCTACTCCTCCAGATGAGCAGTGACTTCTCTTGGAAGCTAAAATGAAAGTTCTTCTCCCTACTCCCACTTTGTGAGATACTACATAAGTCACTTTCCTTAGTGGCTCTTAGTTTCCTCATCTCTAAAATTGGGATGGATTACATTATATGAAGGTCTCTTCACTCTGAAGTTCCATGATGCAAAAATGATGGATGAGAAGACATTTTGGTAAAGTATAAAGCAAAACACAGATGGTCAGTGGCACCAAGCTTGCCTGTCTATGGATCACTGTGGGAGGCTCTGTGCTAGAACCTTGCTGTTTCTTTCCAAGTCAGACCATTCCTCTCCAAAAGAGTAGCACAATCAATCATACAGAGGAGGGCAGAAATAGTGGGTGTGTACAGCATGAAAAAGGGAGATGGGACTCACCTCTAAACATTTTCTGCTACCTGTGGTTAACACACAAGTATTACATTATGTGTCCCCTCACTCACAGCCCCCAAAGCTGCCTTTTCTAATTGGAGATAATCTCACTGCTTCAGCTGTCATTGTGCTGTGCAGATGTCTCCCATATCAACATCTTGCCACTTAACATTTCTAACCACCTAGAGGCACATAGCATTACAGCTGAAGACTTGGTTTCTCCTAAGCCAAACTCATCTTTGTTCTTTACTCCTCCCTTCAAGCCTAGGCCTGTTTCCTAACATGTCACAGGCACCAGTTCTAGCCTGCTCTCTGCTTCAGAACCTTTACCCCATTTCCTTTGCATTTTATAACCGCCATGGAATATACCTCATTTAGTCTTTTTAATTTGTTCTCCATCCCACCTTTGTAGTCCTACCTAGGGCTTCATTCCAGCCACTCTCCCCACCAAAAAGACAAAACAAAACCATTATTGAAGTCATTTTATTTCAGTTTATTTCGTATCCTCATCCCAGATTAATATTCCCAAAATATGTTACCATGTGGCTATGCCACTGTTTGCTACAAACTTTTCTATTTCTTTTGAGGTTTTCTGTGACTTCCAGTCTTATCAGCTTTGTATCTTCTATTGCTCACTAGAGCCTTCTCCATTCTTCATTCATTCACTCCATATATATATGGCCTGGTCTCCCCTCACTGGAATGCTTTTCCCTGTGCTCTGTGCCATGTGCAGGATTCAGATTTTCAAAGTCTTGGTCCTGCCATTTATGAGGAGCTTTCCCTAACCCTTCCAGTCTATATCTTTGCTCTGAGTTCTTTGCCACACCTTTTTGACACATGACCATTCTACTCTGCCTTACTCACCAATCTAGTAATGTTCCCAACATGTAGTTTCATCTTTTGACTAGAATATAATTTAAGTTTTGTGGTACGGAAACTTGTCACTAGAGAGAGCTTTAACATTTGCAAATCTGCTCATCATAAGAAAAACTTTAACACTGCAAAGACTGAACACATAGCTCACAAAATAAAAAGAAATGTTCAGTCTCAACACTTAAGATACTTAAGAGATTTGAGATGCAATATTTCATCTATTAGGTTAGTAAAGATAAAGAACCACAACATAGAATTGTGAGGGTGCAGAGAAATAAGCAGTCTTCTGGTGGGAATAGCAGTTGATTGCTACCACCTTCTGGAGGATCAAGTTGGGAAAAGTGTAAGAAACTGTTTATATTTTTAGTCCATCAATTCCACTTTTAGGAATGCATTCAAACCCTGCTCCCAAACCAAACATGCACAAAGCTGTATATTTAAGGAGGTCATCACAGTGTTAAGTAATAGGGCAGTAGGTAAGTTATGATCCAGTTGTACAATGGAATATCATGCAGTCATTAAAAGTAATAGATGTAGGGTATATCTTTTCTGACTGCTCTTGGCCCCCTTCTGGGATCAGCATCCGGTTTTCCTTTGGGGAACAACTCTTCCCTTACCCCCCTCAGTCCATGTAGTTTGGGTATCTTAGCTTGGGTTCCTCAGAGAAACAGACTCTAAGAGATTTTCATGCAGAAAGTTTACTGGGGAGAGTGTCAAAATCAACCCCTGTGGGAGAGGCTAGGGAGTGAGGATTGGGCAGAGGGAGGAGGTGAACTGTGAAGTAGTTGCCATAAAGGCCTCAGATGATCCCAGCAAGGAGCTGTAGAGGTGGGATCTTTCAGTGTTGTTCTGACTCGAGGCAAGGGGGTTAGGGTTCGGGTCTTATACATCCCACATCAATTTGGATGAGTGCTGACACTGGGAGGGATGGCTATCGGCTAAGGGCAGTTTCCAGAGAGGGACTTAGCTGAGACATCAGTTGCAGCTACTCCCAGCTGCTGGGGGAATGAGTGCCTCAGTCCTAAATGGGGAAGTTGGGTGGTGCATCCCTCATCCTCCTCCTGGCTAGGCACAGCTAATCTGGGCATTCCAACTCTACATAATGCTTGCTTTCAAATAATGATTGGTTCAGGGTGGGCACATGACTGAATAAGGTTGGTAAGATCCAGTATAGGGGTTTTTTTCGAACAATGAGAAAGAAAAGAGGCGCTCTTGCTCCTAAGTTTGCTAGGTTGGGACAATGAAAGCATGGAATGGACCGTCCTTCACAGTACCTCTTAGAGAAAGTCTATTTGTCACTGAAGAAAATGAGGCCAACACCCAAAAAAAAGCAGAGCCAAAAGGTAGAGAGCCCCAAAGCTAGTATTTGGGCAATTAAATCCACTACTTTAAAGTCCCTGGGCTTTGCAGTTATGTAAGCCAATATATTACCTTTTTGCATTACTCAATTTAAACGAGTTCTGACATATACAGCTGACCTTTGAACAATGGGGGAATAGGGGCACTGACCCCATGCAGTCAAAAATCCACATATAAATTTTGACTCCCCCAAAACTTAACTACTAATAGCCTACTGTTGACTGGAAGCCTTACCAATAACAAATAGTTGATTAACACCTATTTTGTATGCTGTATGTAATTTTTACTGTACTCTTCCAATAAAGCTAGAGAAAAGAAAATGTTAAGAAAATCATAAGGAAGGGGCACCTGGGTGGCTCAGCTGGTTGAGCTACTGATTCTTGGTTTTGGCTCTCATCATGATCTCAGGGTGCTGAGATCCAGCCCCGAGTTGGGCTCCATGCTCTGCAGGAAATCTCTTTCTTTCCTTCTCCCTCTGCCCCTCCACTCTCTCTCTCTCTCTCTCTCTCAAATAAATAAGTAAATAAATAAATCTTAAAAAAAAAAAAAGAAAATTATAAGGAAGAGAAAATATTTTCAGTACTGTACTGAAAAAAAAAAGTATAAGTGGACTCGCACAGTTCAAACCTGTGTTGCTCAAGGATCTACTACTGTACAATGGTGTACAATGATAAAGGCAATATGCACAATACATTAAGTGAAAAAATTTAACACAAAACATACATTTTACATATAGTAATGATGCCGGTTTTGTAAAACAAACTAATGTACACAATTTAAAAAAAAAGAGGGGTGCCCGGGTGGCTCAGTCAGTTCAGAGTTGCCTTCGGGTCAGGTCAGCCCCCCTCCTGGTGGAGTCTGCTTGAGATTCTCTCCCTCTCCCCTCCCCCTGCTCTCTTTCTCCGATAAAATAAATAAAATCTTAAAAAAAAAAAAAAAAAAGAATGCAGCACAACAGAAACAATGTCATAGTTAAATGGTGAGGTGGACGGGGGGTGGGGGAAGCTGAAGTTAGTTTTCTTCTATAGGTTCTGGAAAGATGTCAAGGCCTGGGATTTGAGCCCTGCTTACCCTACTTACCTACCGAGTCAACTGACGGGGTTCCCACGGAACAGTAACAGGTGACTCACAGACCTGTTACCGTTTCAGGGGCTCCTACCAACCGTCCTCCCTCTCCCCCCAGCCCCGTTACAGCAAGGCACCGAAGCCTTCACGAGCTTATTTCAACTCCTTTGCCACCTGGGCTCCAGCCCCACGGAGTCACAGTTCCGACTTCTCAGGAGTGCGTCTCCACCTTCCCGAGCCCCAAAGCCCCCAACCCCTCCGGAAGACCCGCGGCGCTGAGGAGATGCGCCCACCGCGCCGCTCCGCGTCCAGGCGCAGCTGCGGTACTAACCACGTTTAGAGATCAGGGGCGACTCGGGGCCCGACGCCATCGCTTACCTGCGGCTCCTGTCGCGCGGGGGACGGCCACCGGGAGAGGCGGGGCAGCGGGCGGGCGCAGCGGCTTCCCCGCCCCGGGGCGGTGCTCGCGCTCCGGGCCTCGCGGCTCCCGCAGCCCGGCTCCCCCGCCTTCGGAGCCCAGTGCCGCCGCCATGTCTTCCGGGGCCAGCGTGAACGCCCTGCAGCGCCTGGTGGAGCAGCTCAAGCTGGAGGCCGGCGTGGAGAGAATCAAGGTGAGGCGGGCGGCGGCGCCCTTTCCTCAGGGCGCGGTGACGGCGCGCTCCCGCCGTCGCCCGGGAGACGTGAGGGGAGAGGCCGGCTGCCCCTCGCCGCGGCTAGGTCGTGGTGGGCGGCCGTGAGGACGGCGGCCCGGTCCCGGCCAGCTGCCCGGCCTCGGCGGGGATGCGGCCGGTAGGCGGAGGCCGGGCCTGGTGGGCCGGGGGAGCAGGGCGAGTCCTCCGGAGCGTGGCCGGGGCCGAGTGCCCTGGGGGCGTTTCCCAGGCGGCGGTGCGGACCCGAACTCGGGGTGGGGGCGGGGTGGGGGCTGCGGAGCGGGGCGCACGCGCGCAGGCCAGGGATGCGGGCGACGCGGGGCCGGCCTGCTTGGGCTGTTTCGGGAGGATGCGGTCCGGGCCTGCGGAGGCGACGAGGACCGGCCTTAGTGAAGGATTGATGGGACGAGAGCGAGAGCTCGGAGGAAGACGGGGCTCGGGTTTCTGGCGTGGTGACCGGGTGTAGGGCGCTGCCCTTCGCCCCAGCAGAGAGGAGGAGGGAGAGCGGGTTCGCGGAATGAGGAGTTCAGTGTTGGACACGTGGACTTTGCCGAGATATCCAAGTAGGGCTGGAGGCTCAGAGAACAAGGCCGAAAGAAGTCATGAGAATGTATGGGAGTAAAAATTTATTAACGAAAAAACCAGAGTGTGGAACCCAGGACCAGCCACAAGATGGCTGAGAGGAGAGGAGAACCAAGGGAAAGCAAGGAAGGAGGGGTTTTCAAAAATGTGGGGCTTAGTTCTTATGTCTAATGTTTAGTCAGTTGATTGAAAAGCATCTGTTGTGTACTGTGTTGAGCAGCTAGGGTAGCATTATGTATAGAATGTATGTTCGTGTGTATGAATGAACACTGCTGTGATATTCCATGTACCTCCATAGTGCCTTTTCTCTGTAGTTGGCACTATTCTAGGTACTGAGAATATGGTGATAATAGTGGCGAAGATCATCAATAAACACATTAGCCAATGAGTAAAATAATTTCAGACCATAGTGAAGATTATAAAACAAGGTAAAGAGAGTTATGGAATGCAGAAGAGGTTTTAGTAACATATGTAGTAGTAGAAGCAGAATCTAGATTGTAAAAGGGTAGACAGGCCTTTTTAAAAAAGAAATCTGGTTTTAAAGAGGAAACAACTTTTTTTTTAATTTAGGAAATGAAAAGCTTTATTTCGAGGTTGAGGGAAAGGAACAAACTATTTTTAGATTGAGGGGGACCAAATAGAGAAGGAGAATTGGAGGTAGAGGAGACAGGCAGTCTGCCTGTGGGGACATGGCTTGGAGGGGCACCTTCTGAGATAGGAGGAAAGGAGATCAGGACGTGTGTGAAGATAGATGTTTCTAGACATATGGACTTAAGGACTTGTATGATGACAGTTTTCTTTGTGAAATAGGCCAAGTTTTCTTCTAGGGCAAAAGGGAGGGAGCTAATGGAGTCACAAGAGTGAGGGTGGAAGAGAGTGCTGATGGGAATGGGAGAGGAGCCCCTACCAGGCACATCCATAGACACCTTGTGACTCTGAAGACCCAGCTCCTTTGAGATTGGAGACTGATTGCCCTACTTGTGGATTTTTTTTTTTCTCCACTAGCACTTAGCCACCCAGGAATCTGAGTGTCCAGGGTGAATGGTAGTTGATCCAAGTAGTGGGTTAGCAGAGGCGGTATACCAGAAAGATGGAAGTGAGGGCAAAGGGCAAGGAGCTTGAGGGGTTGGCCAGAAGGAGGCTAAACGTAGGCCGGATAGAGAAGGAACTGAGCCAGCCTCCTGGTGATGGGCGGGGCAAAAGGGGAGGAGGAGTTCTCCTTGAGGTCAAAGAAGGGATGTAGTGAGAAGGAAGTAGCATTCTGGATGGGTGGGAGAGACTGTGATCAGAAAGTAGGAAGTTGAAGTGTAAAATTTCAGATGTGGAGCAGTTATACGTGTTGGCTGTAACTGTTGGCATTGAGGAGAAGGCTGTCTGAGGAAAGGAGGTCAGGGAACTGAAACTAGGGTTGTTGAATATGGTCAGGATGATGTTGGCACCTGAGAGGAAAAGGAGAGCTGTGGGCCAGATGCCTGCCTACCTTGTGGAGTAGCTGGGCAAGATATTTTCTACATTTAAAAAATAATTTTGGGTGATGAAACAGACCCAGAGAATTCAAGTGAATTGCTCAAGGTTACACAGATAATAACCTTATTTGTGAGGTGTTCTCATGGTAGTATGGTTTCAGGTGTTTGGTGGGCTTATCTCAGGCAGTAGGAGTCACAACATTCCAGGGTCTAGTTTGCCTCATTGCAGGGCTCAATAATGAATGAGTGCGCTCAGCACACCCACAGATGTCTTCTCTTTAGCAGACTTGCTAACTAGTAAATAAACCAGGACACCAGTTTTCTAGCATATAATGGAGGGCATCCCTTCCCAGTGATTGGAATGCTTGATATCCTTCCAAGGGCCCCTTCTCTGTTTTGGAGAAATCTCTGAGAAGTTGCTGGGTGAGCATGGACTCAAACCAAGGAAAGCCATATAATTTGGGTATCCTACCTCCCATGGCAAATGACAGCTTCTAAGTGTTTGGGCTTGTACTCCACCCTCTCCCCACCCCCAGAGTCTTTTTCCTGTAAAAGTGCTAGAGAAATGCTGACCACTTTTATTCTTCTCTTATTTTCTCTGCATATCCACTCGTCTTAACTTTTTGACCATGTTCTTTAGGCCAGGGTCCAGTTAGTCCCATTTCTCCAGGGATCTTGGAGGATAGTCTCCTTCTACCCATCATGTGTGAGTTCATCTGTTCCCTCTGTTGGAGAGATAGTAAGCATGAGCATAATTGGTTCTAAATTCCTGTGAATTAAAAACTGCTATATATAACCATTAATTCCAGTTATAATTAACATGAAAATGTCAGAACTTCTTTTGAGGGAAAAGGAAGCTTAACCATTAGTTTGATAATATTATTTTGTTTTTATATTTATATAATAAAAACTTACTACATTAATGAAACCAGAATTCCTAAAGCATTCTAGAAACTTAGATGGTAACCATAACATAAGGGGCTGATTTTCCAGTTATTTAGAAGCTTGGAAAATTAACACAAACTAGTAGTAATACTTGAACAGCAACTGGAACCATTTTAGTATGATAGGAGTGAGATTTTATACAAAACACCTTCTCAGTGCACATAAAATGGAACATGAGGAAAGCCTCGATGTACAAATCTGCATCAGATGGAGGCTAAGAAGAAAGGTAGAATAATATTTATCAGTGCTGCCTAATAAACTTCTCCAAAACTTAGTGATTTAAAGCAACATTCATTAATTCGCAGTTCTTAAGTCAACAGTTTGAGCTGGGCCCAACTGTGTACTTTTGCTGATCTTTGCTGGGCTCTTCCCACGCATCTGCAGTCAAATGGAGGGTTGGTTGGTAGCTGGATGATCTTCTCCACAAGATCTCCAGTAGGCTAGCCTGAACTCATTAGATGGTCTTAGAGTTCCAATTACAACAAGAGAGGTAGCAGCAAGGGCTCTTGAGACCTACAGCTTAGAACTTGCCCATTATTTCTGCCACATTTTCCTGGTCAAAGCAGGTCACAAGGCCAACCCAGATTCAAGGAGTCTTAGGTAAAGACTCTACTTCTTGGGGCATCTGGGTGGCTCAGTCGGTTGAGCGTCTGCCTTCGACTCGGGTCCTGATCATGGGGTCCTGGGATTGAGTCCTGCATCGGGCTCCCTGCTCAGCGGGGAGTCTGCTTCTCCCTTTCCCTCAGCCTGCCGCTCCCCCTGCTTGTGCTCTATCTCTTTCTGTCAAATAAATAAAATATTAAAAAAAAAAAGACTCGTGCTCGCTTCGGCAGCACATATACTAAAAAAAAAAAGACTCTACTTCTTGGTGAGAGGAGCTGCAAAATATTGTGACTGTTTTTGTAGTCTGCAACAACTGTATTGCTGACCATGTGTCAACACTATTCTAAGTGTTTTACATGCATTTAGCTCATTTAATTGTCTCATCAACTCACTGAGTCAGGTACTATTACAAAATACATTTCACAGATGAGAAAACAAAAACTGAGAAATTAAGTTAACTTGCCCAAGATCATACAGGTAATGTTGGAGCTAAATAGGAGTCCAGGCATTCTGGTTCCAGAGGCTGCACTCTTAACCAAAAAGCTATCCTGCCTCAAAAGCTTGGTGGAGAAAACTTGTCACTTGTTTTGGGCAGACTGGATAAGGCTCCAGCCTTGTAAATATTAAAACAGTTTGCTCACATGGCAAACCTGACTATATAGTGCACGCTTTGTAAGTGAAAATTTGTAAAGGAAGTACTAGAATGAGCTCTTTCTTTTTTTTTTTTTTTTGAGCTCTTTCTTTACCAATTCAGTCTCAAAACTAGGATTCTAACTGGATAAAGATACATCTTTATTTTTCCTTTATTGAGGAAGCAACTGAATAAAAAAATACCCTTAATCATGGAAATTATAACATTCCCTCTTTCAAGTTCAGTTATTAGAACTTTCAGCAAAAAAGAGACTTTGGAGATCACAAGATGTGGGACCTTTATCAAGTGGTAGGATCATTTTTTGGAGTATCAAATGGCTCTGGCTGTGAGCAGCACGTCAAGCTGTTGTCCCTTTGTTTCAGGTCTCGCAGGCAGCTGCAGAGCTTCAACAGTACTGCATGCAGAATGCCTGCAAGGATGCCTTGCTGGTAGGTGTTCCAGCTGGAAGCAACCCCTTCCGGGAGCCCAGATCCTGTGCTTTATTCTAAAGGCTGGTGAGTAATGAAACACCATGCTATCTTGGGGCCATGGCATTATCACAGGGCTTCCCAAGGGATCGGGCAACTGAGTTTTGAATATCTACTATAGTTGGGGAAATGAAAATAAGAAACAGCAAAATGCACCTGAAGGGTGACTCTAGTCAACATGCCTGTGGAATACATCTCATTAAGGGAGTCTCAATCCTCTTGGGCACTAACTCATGAGATGTTAATATCCTTATGTGCTTGAGCTCTTTAACTGAGTTGGCTGATAGTAATTTCATGACCTTAATCCTACCATCTCTGTCCTAACACCATCCCGGAGTTGTGATTTGCTGCTTGGTGCTATCAGCAGACTTGCTGCTCTCTGGACTAAGGACTCCCCAGAGGAGACTTGTTCCTACCACCAGCTATGATTTCTTTCCTGGAGGCTTTCAGAATATATCTGTTTTAATAGAGGAGGAAATGTAGCTAGTAGGGAAAAGCGTGGGTAGAGTTAAAAGAGCTTTACAAATTGATTACTGAAATGAAAACACCTCTTTGGTGGCATATTAGAAATTTCATGGGTCCTAAAGTGTTGTGTTTCATTCATTCACATTTTCTTTTTTTTTTTTTTCTCCTTTTTTTGGAAGAGGTCAGGGCATAGGTTACTGCAGTCTTTTGGGGCCAGCATATTTCAAATTATGTGTTCTGAGGGGTTTTCATACAGTAAGTAATCATCTTAGGTCCTTTTTCACATATTTGCAAAAGGAAATTATTCATATTAACGGAAGGAAATAATCATGCTATCAGGTACTATTGTACCTTTTAATGGAAAATGTCCACATTTATGGTATTAAAATAATAGTCTTATGCTGGCATAGCATTTTCCTTTTTACAAAGCACCTTAATGGGTGTTACTCATTCAACAATGTAGCTTAGATGTTTTTTATATCGTTACTTTCTACTTTGAGAACACTAAAGTGACCTGTAATGATGACTAGTTAATTATGTGTATAAATCTTACTAACGTGAAAACCTACCTAATTCTCTTTCCAGTAAGGAAGAAGTTCACTGAGGAATGCTTTTAAGCGCAAAGTGATGAATAACTAACTGCCTCCAAGTCTCAAGAAAACACTTTTCTCCAGACAAATGACTCTTAGATATTTCAGACCTTTCCTTGGCCAAGTCCTATAGCCAAAATTCTATAGAAATTGATGAGTTTCTACTCAGATAAGGAAACTGGGTGAGGGGGAAGACTTTAGATAATAATGGTCAGACTCTTGGTAAAGTGCTTTTATATTAAACAAAAATGTTACCACCAAATACACCTCTTTCATAAGCGAATTACTGGTGTTTCTATACCTGGAATATTATGTTTGTTTTATTTACTGGATGTTTACATTTTGGGAAGGCAAACATTTTTGTTTGTTAAAAAATTGAATATTTGTAATTTGTTGTTCCTAAGATTTTTATACCATAACAAAACTGTTCTTTTCTCCTGAATTTACAGTTTCTAAATGAAGACGAGCAAGTGTAAAACTGGGGGAAGAATAGGCTTTATTAATAAAATGATGTCTTGATTTTTCTAAATGAGAAGATTGCTTTATTTTTAACACTAAACATGGGAGCTGTTTCTTAGCAAACTTGTTTGGAAAGATTCATGTTGTGTTGTGTATTAGATTGCCCCATCTTGTGTATCTTCGAAGCAGATTTGGTCTTTGTCTTAAGTTCCTCTACCTTATAGTTGTGGTTGTACTTAAAAAACAAAAAAATACACCATTATCTCATGTCTTTAAAAAAATGTTTAAATATGTTACTCAGAACATTGCAAATGATTAAAAACAAAATAATGTGAAAATATTACGACCTAAATAAATTCTTAATGTCACAAGTGTTTTACGTTGATGATGTGCCTTTGATTTAATTTGGGACACTTTTAAAAGGATACTTTGTGTTTGTAATAATCTTTGATGAGCTTGGAAATAAAATTTCTGCTTAATTCATCATTTTCTATGATAGCAACATTTTCTGTCTGATTTTGTTTTAAGGCGTCATGGATTTTTGTTTCCTTGTGAAATTGAGTGCTAGAAGTGGGAAGTGAGATTTTTGCTTGTAAGTCCTTGTAGAACTTTGTAAAAAAAAAAAAAATATATATATGTATAATTTGCAGAAACGTCTCAATTTCTGGTGACATTTGCACTTCGAAATAGTTATGTATAAATCCATAAATATATAAATGAAAATATCTTTTAGCATAGTGTTACCGAATAGAGAAAATAGAAGCCATCATCTTATGGAAACTCCCTTAATTTCTGGCCACTAAACTTCCAAATCTAAGTGATCTGAATCTCTCCCTTCAATCAAAATTCAGCTGTCCCTTTTCTAACCCTGCTATTTATTCTCTGGATCTGTTTCACCTTCTCTGAAATCACACTATCCATTATCCTTTCTCCTTTATCTTCAGCTACTTTATTGGATCCTTTCTGTCAACATTTAAACATGTTCCAGTCTCCATTTTAACAACAATAAGCATTTTTAAAAATCTCCATTAAAAAATTCATTTTCATTTATAAAAGATAAGTAAGTCCTAGAGATCTACTCTACAGCATAGTGCCCATGGTTAGTATATTGTATTATATACTGAAAATTTTACTAAGAGTTGATCCTAAGAGTTTACTAAGAGTTGATAATAAGAGGGTGGAAGGAAACTTTTGGATATGATGGATAAGTTTATGGTGTAGATTGTGATAATGGTTTCAGAGGTATATACTTACCTCCAAACTCCTTAAGTTGTATACATTATTATGTACAGCCTTTTGTATGTCAAAAAAAAAAATATTTTCTTGATTCCAATTTCTCCTTTGGCAAAAAGTTGGTAAGATACAACAAGAAACCATAGGTGTCTCACTTAGGAATATAGATATTTGCCCTAAATATAAGCAAATCAAATTCACTAGTATATCAAGAGAAGATACAACCTGACAAAACTATTTTGATAAAACCTGTCAGTGTAATTCATTACATTAATGGTTTAAAGTGTAATTCATTATATGAATGGTTAAAGAATCTATGCCAACAAGTCATTTGACAAAATTCAAGGACTGTTCTGAGTAAGAACTAAATGGCTTAGGGAAATTGGAAGAGATGATAAAGACTATCAAAAGCAACAGCAAATTTCATACTACATAGTGGAATGTGGAAGTATTCAGCATGTTAGGAACAAAACAAGCATACTTTTTATCACTATTATTGTTCAGCTTGCTTTCTTTTTTTCCCTTTTTAAAAAAGATTTATTTACTTGAGAGACAGAGAGTGAGCTGGGGGAGGGGAAGAGGTAGAGAAGCAGACTGCCTGCTGAGTGCGGAGCCTGACAAGGGGCGCCATCCCAGGACCCTGAGAGCATGACCTGAGCTGAAATCAAGTCGGATGCTTAAACAACTCAGCGACCCAGGCGCCCCTATTCAGCATTGCTTTAGAGGTGTTAGCTAATGCAGTAAGATGAAAAAAACAAAAGGGGGTAAACATTTTAGAAGCAGTATCTACTTATGGATTATATAATTGTACACTTTGAAAACTGATGAGAATATAGGAAAAGAAATACTCAAATTTGTAATAGAATTTAAGGGGCTGGCTGGATATAAGTATGTGTAGAAAAATGAAAAGTATTTTCTCCACTGGCAATAGCTAGTTAAAAATGGAAATGGAGGGGCGCCTGGGTGGCTCAGTCAGTTAAGCGTCCGCCTTCAGCTCTGGTCATGATCTCAGGGTCCTGGGATCTAGCCCCACATCGGGCTCCCTGCTTGGTGGGGGGCCTGCTTCTCACTCTCCCTCTGCCTGCCACTCCCCCTGCTTGTGCTCGCCCTCTCTCTATCTCAAATAAATAAATGAATAAAAACATTCTCATTAAAAAAATGGAAATGGAAATTATATACCATTTCTGCTTTAATGACATAAAAAATTCTTAAGAATACATTTAGGTGCCCCCCCTGCAAGAATAATTTTTAAAACTGTGTGTGTGTGTATAAAACATGGGAGGGTGAAACCTGTCTTACTGGATATTAAAACTTACTTTGAATATGGGGCACCTGGGTGGCTCAGTTGGTTAAGCGTCTGACTTGGTTTCAACTCAGGCCGATCTCAGGGTCATGAGATTGGCCCCGTGGGCTCCATGCCCAGCGAAGCATCTGCCTGAGATTCTCTCCCTATCCCTCCCCCTCTGCCCCTCCCCAAGGCTCATACTCGAGCACTCTCTCTCTCAAAATCTTTAAAAAAAACCCTTATTTTGAACATGCTGAATCAAAACTATGATTTTTTATTTTAAGATTTTATTTATTTGAGAAAGCAGGGGGAGGGGCAGAGGGAGAAGCAGGCTCCCTGCTCAGCAGGGAGCCCGACGGGGGACTCACTCCCAGGACTCAGGATCATGACCTGAGTTGAAGGCAGACACTGACGGAGCCACTCAGGTGCCCCTTTGTTTTTTTTTTTTAAGATTTTATTTATTTCTTTGACAGCACAAGAGGGGGAGCAGCAGAGGGAGAGGGAGAAGCAGGCTCCCTGCTGAGAAGGGAGCCTGATGCGGGGCTTGATCCCAGGACTCTAGGATCATGACCGTAGCCGAAGGCAGACGCTTCACACCAACTGAGCCATCCAGGAGCCCCTAAAACTATGATTTTTTAAAAAATTAAAAAGAGGGGCGCCTGGGTGGCTCAGTTGGTGTGAAGCGTCTGCCTTCGGCTCCAGTCATGATCCCAGGGTCCTGGGATCGAGCCCGGCATCGGGCTCCCTGCTGGGCAGGGAAGCCTTCTTCTCCCTCTCCCACCCCCCCACTTGTGTTCCCCCTCTTGCTGTCTCTCTCTCTCTGTCAAATAAATAAAATCTTAAAAAAAAAACTAAAAAGAAAACAAAAAATTATTGTGATATAGGAATACGCAAATAAATGATTGGATCATAACAGTTCAGAAATAGACTTGACTTTTCTAGTCAGTAGGAAAGTATGGTTTACTAATAAATGGTGCTGGCATTACTGGCCATCCATTTGGAAGGAAATAAAATTGGGCTTGTATTATGTAATAAAAAAGCCACATGGGTTAAAGAAAAGGGAATACAAAAGCATTAGAAGAAAAATTAAGGGAATAGTTGTGTAACTAAGGTACAAAAGTTAAAAGAGGTCTTCCTAAGCAAGGCACGAAACCCGGAAATCAAAAAAGAAAAGATGTGTATACTTTACTGTATCAAACTTAATTTAAATAAATAATTCAATTTAAATAAGTATTAAGTTAAAACTGTTGTATGATAAAATCATAAACGGAATAAAAAGGCAAAAGACAGAAAAATATGTACTTTTTCAGTCCTCATTTGGGATTGCTCTTTGCATTCTCCACCCTCTCTAATCCATGCTGCTCTATTTATTAAAATCATTGGATCCCTTGTTTGAGGGTCGGCTTATTATGTGGGGGAAAATAACCAACCTATTACTGTTAGAGGCAAGGGGTGAGATGCCCTGGTGTTGATTCCCATTTATACCCTGTATCTCAGTGGCAAGGGAAGGAGTACCTATGTCCATCCACAGTTGGAGGGAGCAGCTGATGTTCTACGGCTGGACCTAGAAACTTGGAGTAAGATCTCTCAAAAGTTCTCAAAAGTGAGCAGCACTATCACAGCAATGGATCTAAGGGCAAGTAACTCTTTAGAACATGAAAAATCTCACAGGGAAATGCTCTCAGAGGGGGAAAAAAAAAATCAAAGTTCCATTGCAAGAGCCAACCTGAGAAGTTGGGGCTGTTCCAAACAATCCCTTGTGATGGGGTGTTTGGAAGAGGATCTTGGAGGCCGGACTGACACTTTTGTTCCCCTAACAAGGGCCCAACCAGACCCTTCGGGGCTTCTATGATCAGCCCAACCTGACATGTGACAATGGCTTCCAGGGAGTGCTCTACTAAAGCAGAGCTCACTTACTTTATCCATTGTTCCCAGACTCCTAAAACAAGACTTGCTTCCCAATACCTCTGACAGAGGCTGTTCCATGCTCAGGCAGAATGTGTCCTTAAACAGCAAGCGCCATTAAGGAATGCCCACAGGAGGACTCATACTTCCACTCCATTTGGTGAGGAAGCAGGGACATGACTGTTAATAGCCTAGCCTCAAGGCTTGCTGTAGTTGATGGCCTATAAAGAAACTCCTCTCCTCTGGAAGCTGATTAAAGGCAGGATAACGGAGATCTGCAAGCTGAGAAGCCTTAGCCTTACCTTAGTTTAGAAGCTATCCTGACAAAATTTTAAGAAAGTAGAACAGGGCGCCTGGGTGGCTCATCGTTGAGCATCTGCCTTCGGCTCAGGTCATGATCCTGGGGTCCTGGGATCAAGCCCCGCATCGGGCTCCCTGCTCTGCAGGAAGCCTGCTTCTCCCTCTCCCACTCCCCCTGCTTGTGTTCCCTCTCTCGCTGTGTCTCTCTGTCAAATAAATAAAATCTTAAAAAAAAAAAGTAGAACAGAAATTCCAATTAGATGTCCAGAAATAGTTTCTCTTTAAAGTCTCCACCCCCACATACCCAAGCAAAACCAAACATCCTATAAATAAAAGTATAATAGCAAGAGGAGAGTAGGAGGAGGAAAGGAAGAGGTGGTGTGAAGCCTGTTTCAAAAAGGACATGATTAACAGTATCAAACGTTGAAGAGAGGTCAAGTAAGGTGATGTCTGCATGTCTCCTGGATCTAAGAAGGTAGAGGTCAATTTTGGTAGTAATAGGGTGATAATTTCAGAAGCCAGGAAAGAGTATGCCTGTGGTCTTCAAACATTTCTGCTGGTGTACCACCTATAATAATGTCAAAAACCCATTACCTCCATTTGAGATGACATATAAAAGTTTTGTTAATAACCGAATAGTTGCAAAGAATATAACTTTATTAGGAATTCTGACATTTTAAAATAAAATTATTACATCTTTAAAAAAATACTCAATGGAATATAAATACCAGAGTAATTAGAAACCTACAATCATCCATTAAAAAATATACAAACT